ACTTGAGAGCCAGAAACGACAAGCGAGCTCAAGCTGTGAAATGAACTAGCTACCAAATACTTAAGACTTGGTCAAGGTATGCGCAGAAACTTTATTCTTTATTACTCACTTAATGTGAGTTCGTTGAAATAATTTCTTAGAATTATAAGCCCCTAAAGCTGTAATTAAGGGTGTTTTTAACAGGTGATACTGTTGCTATGGTAACCTATTGTGTCACGAAAAAGATAACAACGTGTTCACCAATGATTGGACAGTTTTTTGATACCATGATTGTAGCATCAAGTGATAAAGAGTGGTTATAACGACCCGTCAATATCTGTTTTGAGCCACCTTACTGAGTAAAATTATTGTGCGGTTGACACTTGACAGTGGTGAAATCAATCTTCGTTCGACTGACTGAGTGTCGCGTATAGTTTCTTTGTTTCGTGTTTTAAGATCGCTCACCTTTTTTACTGCACTGTCTAAAATGAGTTCAATTCTTAATCTCCCTTACAGTCTGACTACAGCAGGTGACAATAATTAACGTAAGAGAGTGAATCCCCCATATAGGTATTATACCCAAGGTAATACCTCTAAAGTTATTTTTAGGTTTGTTTATGTGCCGCTTCGTTTCAAAGCGACATATACAAAATGACTCCATTATTATAATTTAACTAAAATTGTCATTGCATTAGCCCAACATTCTAAAATTCCAAGTAAAGACTTATCTGAAATCCATGTAGCCGGATTTTAGATACACTTGAACAGAGATCCCGAAGATATTCAATAAAGATAGCTTTGAATTCAAAACACGATGTGAAACAATGTTTTCAAAAACACCACATATCATTAAAAGAAGACTTGAGACCTGTTTCTGCCCTACTGGCGGCAATCCAGTAATTTACAGTCATCATTATCTATCCTATTTTAGCTTTTGTTTTTTGTCGCAAGATAGTAAACAACAAGTTTGTAATGGGTGGTGTTGACATGTGTTGATAATGTTCTCAATTGCTAATTTTGCTAACGTCCATGAGAGATGTTTCAAGTGCTATTTCCGATCTTCCCAACCAACTCGGAGTTCGGTTTAAAATTCTTGCATCGACAAGAATAAATCGGCTGTTTTCCTATAATGAGTATATGATTAATAACTTTATAATGTTCAACCTTACTAAAAATGCCCAAAAGGATCATTTTTCATTTATGAAACTAAATTTTCGCAAGGATTCATAGTCTTAAGTTTTGGGCAATGATGACGTCACATGAAAATCAATAATTGACGGGTAAAGCACTCGACCGACGTGGCCGAGTGATTTGCAACTAGGAATAGTTATAACGAGATTATCATCAATTACGCGAGGCTAACGAGTGCGGGAAGGGGTGAAATGGTTTTGTAAATACTTTAGTCGACGCTCATTGTAGGTTCAACGCCTGTAAAGAGGGAGCTCGGGGATTGGACTAGCCACAACGGCAACGGGAATGTCGCAAAAGCAAAGGTTTAATTAGCAGTGCAATGGCTCTCCATGCCCGTTTACAGTCATGGAGGATGTCTACGCCGGCGCTCTCTTTGAAACAGCAAGGTAGAACAGATTCTGCCGGTGACAACATGAACCGTAATGGCGAATTTTGTAAGTTACGTTTTCATATTTTACGCTGTCTTACAAACTCAGTTAAAGATAGCTCTGACAATCAAAGAGAAACTAAACAAATCTAGAGTATCCCGGAATTCGCAAGTAAAATATAACTCCATTTTTAATTGACTTTTTCATGGACGTCGCTTTGATAGTTGCTTAAACTACGTTCTCTATGTCAAGGCAGACGGAAAGAGGCTGTATAGACGAGAAATACAGGACGACGCGATTAACCAAAAAAAAAAAAAAACAGTGACTTGGCGGGAGCTTTTGAATCAGTTAGTCGGCTCGGTCACTGCAGTACCAAAACCAAAAACATTACAACAAAACATGCACCGTTAAAAAGAAACGAACTTGAAATCGGCTTGTTGGAAGAACACTGAAGCAAACATTTACCTTCAAGTGGGCAGTCAGCTCATCTACTTAATTACATGGCGAGCTTTGCACAACGAGTCTCCGTCAGACACCTTGTTTTCCAACTGAGATATTAATTATGAACAGGATAACGTTATTTCTTAGTACAATTACATACTAACAATTATTTACACTAAAGTAGCCCCCGAATAAGTTGAAGGTACGTTTTCATTATATCAAGTCCGGTGCTCTATAGCTCTCTGTTTTTCTAAAGCTGAAGG